TCAAAATACATCTGCTATTCATCAGAAGTCTCATCTCAAGTCTTCTTATTGGCATTTCATTGAAATTTGGGAAATAAAGTGCCATACAGAAGGTTATACTCAAGAAGTTCTTACTAGTTCAGTATGAAGGAGGGACACGAACACTTAACTGCATTTGATGCCAGGCATGGCAAATTTGAATAACCAGGGTTGCCTTTTGTTGGTGAATTGTGAGGCAGTCTTGGATGAAATTTTTTCGGGCATTTTAGACAAGTAGGTAGTGATACATTTTGACAACATATAAACTTTTCCTGAGGATCCTGATATTAATTTCCTGTTTGCCAAACAGCAGCTTGTGTCATCTGGCTTCGGTTCAGAGTTTACCTTTCATCGAGACCTTAAAAATTTAATCACTGGCTGAGTTGCCAGAGACACAGCAGCAGAGAAAGAGAGAGCGAGGCTTCCCTGCTTTCAACATGGCTGCTTTCAGCTGGCTGATCGTTCTTTCCCTGCTAGTCCTCTGGTTCTGGAAGAGCAGACGTCCCAAAGGTTTCCCTTCAGGGCCTTGGCACCTGCCCCTGATTGGGAATCTCCTTCAGGTCAGGATCGGGAACCTTCAGAAGGACTTGGATCAGGTAAGGCTCCTTATTTTCCCTCAGATTAAACTCCACGGAGTGAATCTGCCACAATTTTTGCTCCTGCAGAAAGAACTGAGAGGAGATGGCTCTTTCTGTTAGCTTTTCTACATGAGACACAATTTTTGCTTGCCACAGGATTTAGAGAAAAAAATTTAGATGAGAACATATTTGCCATTTGATGCAGAGGAATCCTAATTCCTGCTGGAACTTAACTTCTTCTGAAAGATTCATTCGCTCTTTAAGGTGAATTCAGTTCCATTCCAATTTTGCAAAGGAAACCCTCCCCTTCCAAAAAGTACTGGAGAAATCCGGTACTTTAGAAGGCTAAAAAGGGTGTGTTTGTCTGCCTGAATGAGTAGTTTATGATTCAGTTTCAGCTGAATCCCAAATCTGTCAATTCTTTTTTCTTTCCTGCCCTGCTCCCAAAAGTTTTTATTGCTGTATATTTTGAAAGAATATAAAAGATAGATGGCAGAGATAGAAGAATCAAGTACAGGTGGAAAAACAGCAAATCTATTACAGGTAGTCTTTAAGCAGGCTCTAACGATGAGGCTCTTACATAAAAGCTTTGGTAATAAGGGGGTAATTGTGGGGGATCGCACTTTGCCTTTGCACCCAGGAGCTGTTTGGACGCTCAGAAGTGGTGAGAGTTTGCAAAGGGAAGAGTTTTCCCATGCTGTCCCTGCGTGTTTCTGGCCTGTCCTTAGACAAGTGGGGCCAAAGGCCCTGAGCCCTTGGGAAAGGGGGTCTCCCAGGTCCCGTAGCAGTGCCTCACCCGCAAACAAGCTGGGTTCTCACAGAGCCTCGTTGGCAGGTTTATAATAAGGAAGATGGTGTTTAGAGATATGAGATGACAAATGTCAGATTCAGCCAGCACGGCACGGCCAATGCCACTGTTCAGTTTCACCTCCCCTAGTCAATTTCACCACCTCTGGCGCAGGCAGCGGAAAAGAGGAAGTTAATTCCCAGCAGGTGGCGGCCATTGACTCAGGGCAGGAGCGGATACTTTGCATCACAGCCGGCTTCCCTCAAGCGCCCCAGGCAACACCCCCCCCAGCGGCAATCGGCAAGTGATTAAGAAGCCCTGGCTTAGCCTGCAGAAGAAAAGCCCAACTAACTCAACGACCCCACAAACAAAGGACAGTAATCAGGGAGACAAAGAAACAGGGCTGAATCTGCCATTTGGGCGAGGGGGAGAATAACCCAGGCAATGGGGAGAAGCGCGGGAACGGGGAACCTATAAAACGCTATGTAATCTGTGCCAAGCCAACTCTGGCTTTCTTTGTATCTACCTGCATTACACCCGAGTAAACTTCTTTGGCTGAACCTATGTTTCATGAGAGTTTCATTCGGTGCTGAATGTGGTAACTCTTAGAGCAAACTGGACTCTGTTCTTTAGTGCCTGCTTATCTGAACTTTTGTTAGGGTAGGGCTGCTTTGATCCTCTTTCTCACAAGACTTTCGGTTCTTGGGAAACAATCAGATAACATGAGCAACAAAAACCTTCTTGTGATGTTTTTCACCTTTATTCATAACATTTTATTGGAAGGTAAGGCTTTTTCTAAAGTCAGCATACCTACTTAAACTCACTTGTGTAGGTATCAAGTTTGAAAGCTCTCCTGTGTATCACAGTTAGAGAAGGGTATTAATTATGCTTGGCTGGAAATGTCTGAGGCTAGCAGGATGTTGCCATCCTCAGGAGAGGGCCTTAGGCCCATCTGCCCTGAATAAGTATGTCCCTTTCCATGATCTCCTCCATCTCCATTCTTCTTGGATCTTGGCAATCCACTCAAGACTGTTTCAGTAAGGGGCATGTTGCGGACCCCACCAGGCAAGGAGTTTTGGCTGGTGGGGTTCATGAAGAGGGCCTTTTCTGCCATGGACCCCGCCCTGTGGAACAGCTTGCCACCTGAGGTGCAGGCTGTTTTTGCCTTTGTAGTTTTGCTTGGGTTCTGGTCAGGGCTACCGAGCCAGGTTCTGTTTGAGGTGGTGCTTTAGGGATTACCGGAGCAACCACCTGTTCTCTTTGGCTGTTATGCTGAGGTAGCCTCGATAATGCATTGGCTAAAAAGTTTTTCCCTCCAGAGATGAATTTTAAAGTGAACTTGAAGCGGCTGAAAAATTGGGCCCAGCATACTTGTTTGGGAGATAATTTTCTCGGAGTTGTCAGGGATTCTAAATTTTTGTGGTCCATCCACACCTCAAAAGGGTGTGATCCTCCTTCAAGGAGGTGCCTCCACGTCATAAGGGCCCAACGTACTGCAAAAGCCTCCTTTTCCCAGATGAGCCACCTTCCTTCTGTTTCAGTAAATTTGCGAGAAATATAAGCACAGGGCTTGAGTAACCCCCCTTCATCTTTTTGGAGCAAGACAGTTCCAATTGCTACGTCAGAGGCAACGGCTTGAATTACAAAAGGTTTGTCTGGGTCTGGGTGTTTTAAAATAGGTTCTGCTGTAAACAAGGTTTTTAAAGCCTCAAAGGCCTTTTGGCACTCCTCTGTCCATATTAACGGGCCCCCCGGCTTTTGGGCTTTCACTGAACCTTTGCCCTTTGTTTTTAGCAAGTCTGTTAACGGCAAAGCAACTTGTGCAAAATTTGGAATTAACTGGCGATAGAAGTTCGCAAAGCCTAAAAACCTTTGTAATTGCCTCCGGGTTTTGGGTGGTTCCCAACCCAAAACATCTTTCACATTTGCCGGATCCATTTCAATCCCTGAATTGGAAATACGATACCCCAAGTAGTCTACTTGTTCCTTATGAAATTCGCATTTTGACAGCTTGGCATATTACTGAGCCTCCTCCTCCTCCAGTTCAGCGTTGGTTTGGCGAGTGGTTTTGTCAGGATCCGCACTTGCCTCTTGTTCCTCTCCAACCGATCCGTCTTTATAAATGACGAGGTCTGGGAACAGCGATTCTGTTCCCGCCGCCGCCGTTCCTCTCTTGCCTTTGGTACTGCCGGGTTTCTGGGCAGGACCCGAGGGTTTCCTCGGTTCCACTGCTTGCACAATCGGCAGTTTGGGACAAGTGGGCGCGAAATGCCCCGGTTCTCTGCAGCGGAAACAGGCTCGTGGTCTTGCCGCTCTAGGATATTTCTTGTCTCCTCCTCTCGCTGGTAGTTTCCGGGGCGCCTGCGCAATACCGCCAGTTTTCCGCTCAAATTCCGGATCCACCGATTTCCACTCAGCTTCTACTTCTGCAGCGTGCTCAATCCATCTGTCTAGGGTGTTTGGGCTTCCTCAGGCGAAGGCTAATTTCCACAAGTCGCGCCGCATGCCTTGCTGGAAGCAGGTGATCTTAAACTGCTCCAGCCTATCCGGCAGTTTCCCCGCAATGTTGCGAAATTCCAGGCCGTACTCGCCGATGCTGTGATTCCCCTGCCGCGCTTTATTCAGCGCTGAGCGGGCCTTGGCGACTGTTCCCGGATCCTCAAATCTCCGCCGCAGAGCGGTTAGGAATCGGCCAAGGTGGCGTAGTTCAGGTGCTTGTGCTGCACGAAGTTGAATCAACCACTCTCCTGCTTTCCCGGTGAGCGCTCTGCAAATGTAGATCATGTGCTCTCGGTCGGAGGTGAACAGATGGCTTGTTTGCTCCATGCACATGGTGACTTGGGCCATAAAGCTCGGCACTTCATTCGGTTCACCGCTAAACTTCTCGGTTAGCCGCCACCGTTTTAGGAGGACATCTAGGTTGGCCTGGGCTGGGAAGACTCGTCGCTGGATCCCCGGGGCGGCTGCGGGCACCGCAGCTGGGGCAGCCGGGAGTCCCTGCGCCTCCAGAGCCACTGGGGTCGCCATCGTGGAGGTGGTAGGGGGGGCCAGTAGCGATTCTTCCGCCCCTTCTTCTCCGCATTCCCCTCCCTTTCGCGACCCCTGAACAAACCTGAGCGCCGGATTAGGTCACTCATCCCCATCAATTCTCTCCTCATCATGCTGTTCTCGGATTGTAGTATCTGCACGCACTCCTTCAGGGCTCCCACTCGGGTGGATTCGATTCTCCCCGTAGTCAGTGCCCAGCATTGTTCAGGCGCCATGTCCAGGAACGACATTCCCCCAGCCAACTCTTCCATGCTCCATAACTTGGTCACATGCCGTTCGGGTTTCCGTGGTGGTGGGAACCGAGCGTAGGTGGTTGTTGGGGTTCCTACTTCCTCCTCCAATATCTCCCCTTCTGCTCCAAGCAGGGGGCCTTCTTCTTCCATCTCCGCAGTCGCGGGAGGTTTTTCGAGAGGGTTTTCCACGGTGGATAATTCCCCGGGTAAATCCCCCGTAGAAAAGGGGTGAGACTCAACAAAATGTCAGAGTCTGCACACTCAGTCCCAAAGTTCAGTAAATCCT